AAGAGAAGGACTCTGTCTCATAGACTTCAATCATCTGTGGACTTGCGGTGAATGGCATTTCTAATCAATCTCTTGAACTTTTCTCTCAAATATTGAGAGAAGGTACAAGGCTAACCATGGAACCTTTGTTGGCAAATTACCCGCTCGTGCTCGTGCTGGTTTGTTGGATAAATTGGAATGTTTTTCACAGTATACAAAATGATTACGGGTCATACCAGAAATGAAAACATTATGGGTGTGCGGTCGATCTTTTAGCTTGCGCTGGCAATCTATCAATGGCATACGAGTTCATAAAGCATATGCAACAGTCGATCATAGAGCTGCAAGGAAGTTTATAGAAGGGTATGCAAACCAAACATGCAAAGGAGATTCTGATTGTGGATGTAGATGTTTACCATCTATCAGTTGCAAAGGAGCTTTGAGCAAATGAGACCGTCAAAGTTTCAGCTGTTATGAAGGTTAGTTTGTTTTTGCATGAAATCTCCTAGTTATATGGAGACTAAGACGAGCCAGTACATCAGAGTACTGGAGAAGAACCTATAGAAGGGATTTAGTGTCAGTGTAGGAAGATCAGAGTGGACTCCAATGGGATTGCGTTATCATAACTTAACATGTGTAAGGAACAGATGCTTTCAACACTGTAATTTTTTATATTTTTTTTCCCTTTTTGATGGACACCCTATTGACATGGCACATGGTTTCTGCAAGAGCCAAATAAAGTGGAAGCAATGGGACTGCTGCAGTGACTGTAGCTATCATTGCACGTTTGCTATGGAAGAAGATAGATGAAAACCTGGTCACAAGCCTGCCATATATTGTAGGAATGGCCTTTGCAGGGTATTTATTGGATCAAGGTATCTACATGCTTTTCCATAGACTTTGGTTATCCTCATTTATTGAAATTTGATATAGCTGAATAATAGTTTATCAATAAGTAAAACATTTGTTTGATGATATCGGGAACCTGTTTCTATGGCTATTTTGTTATCAATCTTTCTTTACAATTCTATCGTTGCTAAACATCATCTCTTATTCCTCCGCCTCTTCTTCCTCATTTGTCATATAGTTTTACGTATCATGATTGAAGTTTTTGAAATGTTTCTACATCCATGATTTTGGCTAAATGTCGTTCAAGGGAGTTGTACATTTAGAGAGTATTGCTCATTCCATTTTGTATTTGTAGATTTCACCATTTTGCGCATCAAATAGGAAAAATTTCCTCCTATCAGAAAGTCTGGAAACAAATAGAAGAGTCAATATGAGGAAAAAGCAACTGGTTCATCTTTATAATCTTAAGCAATCATACATCCAAGCTAGCATCAAATACCACGGATGGAAGAAAATATGAAAAATAAACATCTGCTCCAACTTCTTTTAGTATATATTGAAGTTGAAAAAAGTACGGGGTGGGAAGAAATGAGAGTCGTAAAGGCAATCCAAACATGGCATTGTACCATTATTACAGATACATAGTATTTGTTTATACCATTCTGATTTGTGGTCAAGGATAGCTCCAAAGATTATCCGGTTCCAAATCGTCTGGAGAGTCGCCATCGTCCCCAGAAGTTTTCATCCTTGGTGGGCT